GAGGCAGTAGAGTAAAATAATGCTCAAGTTCTGTGCTGACAGATGTTGTTAGTATCGAACAAAGAACACCATCTAGGTTTTTGTAAGAACATAGCAATAGTCTGCGTCTAAGTGGACCGTCCAACTGCAAGGGTTGATAATACAATATGTGGTCTCAGTGAGCTTTCGCCTAGCGAGAAGTAGGCGCGATTACATATCCAAAGTCACATTTATAAACATTTTCTATAGGTTAATAACGTCCATCTTTAATTTGTTCTTGCAACTACTGTTAACGAGAACAAAGTAATTCTAACTTTCAGCATTCGCTTGCGACAATGTTCTTCTTTCCCGGGTTTTTTAAATGTGCACGTTTAGAAGCTATTGTCTTCATTAGACACCTTTGCCTGGTCTTTCCTCAAAAGACACTGCTGTCGTTCAGCCTAATCAACAGAGATAAATGAGCATATAAGATTATTCACGACGGGTGGTAACGCAGCGATCGGTACATTTTTGAATGTTCCTAAGCTGCCGACCGGCTTGACCATGATAAATAAACCTTTTGTAAATGTCTTTTTCTCACAGGCAGCCTGCTGAGGATATTGCCAATGGCTTTGTAGCTCTTTATTAAAGAGCTCATTCCAAGTAAATATTAAAAGAGAGGCTGCGCTTTCATATTTCTTAACAAGAAGCGTTTCTTGGGAAGCAGTTTTGGGGGTCAGTTTTGTTTCTAATATATTTTGATCGTCTCCTCAGGCCTGGTAGCTTCTCTCCCTTTCCTACAATTTAAACAATGGCGGACATTACAAGTTTCTTTTTAAGGTAAGGTAAATGAACGTGCCGACACTGCAGATCTCAGCGCCATCTCTTAACATCACTGGAAGAAAGTCCGGAACCACTCAAGTTACTTTTCAATACTATTATTAGTCTAAACTGCATTTTGAGCACCGGAATGATCTCCTTGATCCTTTTCAAGTCCTTAACGTTGGCCTTACCATAAAGTACTCTGAGTAGACAACGAAAGCTGTTCGTTTGGTAGTTCTGTCCTTACTTTTCTGCGCCTAGATTGGAATGATATGTTGAAAATCTCAAGTTATCGGGACCAGTTGTAAATGTATGGCTCCAGCCACGGTTCACTTACGTAATTACGAGCTGCTTAACCGAATACCTCAAACATATCAACACGTTACGTCAACTAGAATTAAGGTATTTGTTGCCATTTTCGGACCAAATCCCTCTTGTTCACACCTTTCGCTTGCCCAGTTCATTTGGAACTTGGCAGGATCATATTTTGTGCTAAGTCTAAGCATAGCTGTACACATTTGCAGTATAGTGGAATTTAGACACAATGAACATACCTCAATATTGTATGTTTACAAGAAGAGAAAACAAATGGAAAGAAAAATGACCGCCGCAAACGATGTGATGTGGACTAGTTTCACTAAGGCATGTATTTGTGGAAGGCTCTCGTCGATATGTGACTCTTATCATCGAGAAAATCACTGATAACGGGTGCAGGTCTCCCGCGATAAATTAACATGTGCATTTTCGAGCCACCATAGTTGTATTCGTATAATCATATAGATAATGCGTGTCATTGTATGCCATTAATTAAAGCAAACTTTTTTTCTTTCCACAAAGCGTCGTAAAGTTTCTATTACTTACGATGTTTGTACGTCCGGGTACATGTATGGTCATCTAACAAGGCGAATTTCGTTACTAAATTATTTTATTACGATGTATATAATACTAACGTCGAAATAGAAGATACTTGCCGAAACAACTCTAGACGACACACTTTATTATATTTATTTGTATAGTTTGGTACTTACTTGCCTATAGCTCCATTCAGTAATACGCTTGGGTGGTGCTATTATGCACAGTCTTATTCAGCGAGACAGACTGTTTTTTTAACATATTTCTTCAGTCGCTGTACAATAATATCACCGAATAGATAAATAAAACTTAAGTATAATAAAGTAAATGAACTTACAAAATGATTGCTATGGTACTTGAAGTTATAAAAAATTACTTTCTGCCGCTTCGGACGTTTGTTCACGACGAATTTTATCAACAGAATCTGGTTCGTAAAGCAAACAGGTAAAATTGTCGGGCATTACATACTCCACCATTGTCTAGAATATCTATGTAACAATAGCTTTTACTTGTTCGACCTTCTGCTCGCCGTGAACCTTACGTAGCTTTGACAACTCACCAAAGATGATAGGCCTGCTTGGGTTTCCCTTGTCAGACGTTGATATAGCTTTCAGCTGATTTCAATACGAAAATCCTAAAAGTAACGTGGCCAGATTAAATGAACTTTTCTACGTCACGAGCTTATGGCCATATGGTGTGTCGACACCTAGGTTTGCAAACATTGTCTCGACAGAATTTTTTTTTTTGCTGTAATTTTTCTTTTTTCTTCAATGATGAAAATTGCAGAAGTTTCCTCTACCAAAGCAAAGGCAACTGAATTACAAAACATTTCGGCGTAAACTCGACTTACGGTGTGCAGCGTACTTGAATTTGTTCCTATGGTACTTAATAGCTTTTGGTCCTTAGAAACTTTTTTAACGTGTCGTTAAAAATAATTATATATATATATATATATATATATATATATATATTATCTAGAAATTTTTCATTAGAATGCACTTCGGTATTTTTTTTGTTTTCAAATACGTTTCCATAAACATTCACCTACGTCTATTTTCCAGAAGAGATCATTTATTATTATTATTATTATATATTCAGTTTTATATTATGTAATATGTTCCGTTAAATACCTTCCTTCCAGCATTTGAGAACATATTGCTGAGACCGCATATTTTAGATTTCGATTTATCTATAACCTTTGATAAGGGATTGGTTCAAATTTAGCTCGCAGACAAATTACTATAGCATACCGTTACGTGAACTGCACCGCGTCCTTGAAACATAAATGTTTCCAAACTTTATTTCTGTGAAACGATAAGTACCTGTATGCGATTTTTTTCCGTTAGACGCCGACCATTCATCATTAGTTTCGTCGAAGGCTTTCCTTATGAGATTAACAACGCAATGTTTCTCAAAATGGAGCACGGGGGACTGTCAGAAGAAAACGCATTGACTCATAATTTTAATTGCTTTTTGTATCTACATCAAGTGTAATTTTTTTTGCTTAGAGAAGGGTTACTGCCGGCTTTTTTGTCAACATTTTTAGTGTTGCCCACTGCGTATTCTTTGAGAAAAATGCCGTTTCTGTCCAGTTATTTAGGCCTCGGTCGTTTGACAAAGCACAACATCTGCAGGCTATCTACAGTGATCTATAATCCACATACTCGTGGGAGAGATGTTTAAACCTCTAATAACATTGGCACCCACTTATAATTTGACACTTCTATTTAGGTAACCGCGATATGAAGTATACTCAAACAATGTCTCTCAAGGGCCTCTTCAAAGCAGTCGTTAATATACCTCGCCTTCTGTTATAAAGGCATCGCAGTAATTTCGTGAAAACCCTACTAATGTTTAGACCGTATAAAGCGTCTTTCTAGAAGGATTATGCCAAAATCCTTTATGCATTCAAAGTTTTTTTCCATTAAAGGACAACCTAGTAGTTGCAAGGTATATTTCGCCGACGAAGTCTTTGAAATGCGTAAAATTGACAGTTATTTTTTTATTGGCCAAGTTATAGAGCGGAATAAAGCAATATTACGATGAGATCTGTAACGTTTTGTCAAACGTAATATCGTATAATAAAATACTGCGTCGTACCTGTATCGGGCAAACACGTAAAGTGGTTGACTTGTGAGATCGCTTGACTTAGGTCATATTTTTACCATAACGGGGGCTTTGTTTAAATAGAGAGGCGTTTCATTGTTTATAATCTTGGAGAGTACATACTGCAATCGCCTACTCATCACGCCTTTGGATTTTAAGCCGCCACTGTAGACTAAACCTTTACCTTGTTGTTATTATTGCTACACGGCACTTCTATGCCTTGAATGCATCCTAGGTTTGCGTACAGGTATTTAACCCACTAATTTCAACTGTATACTAATGCAACGTAGCTCTGACTAGATACACCACTAAATTCTGCTTGCCATATCTGGTGGGTTGTGGATAATGCAAGTCTTCTGAATCCCTCTAGCAAAGCGTCACATCCTACATAGATAATCCTGCATTTCGAAGTTGTTTCTATAATAGGTATTTGTATTTGACAAACCTTCGTACATTGAGTACGGCTTATTTTTGGTATATGGAATCGACTGTAGCAATTTACGTTCCAAACAGGAACGTTCTAATTGTTAAACAACGCCCCACCATGTTTATCCAAACAGAGAGTTAGCGCAACGGTAGCACCAGTTCCGACCCATTAGAGCGTGCCCTGGTCAAGAGGTTCCACGTTCGTTCTGTGCAGCAGAAGTCTGGCGCCACGAGATACTTAGCTCTAGCTGACTAGTTCAGCTACTAGGATTTCTATCTTGTTAAACTGACAGTTTGCTCGCTGGCCATACCCTCAAAACACTTTTCACATTCAATCTTAAGTTACTTAGGAAACGGGCATTCTTCATTTTCAAGGGCATTTTCATTATCCGCCAAGGCTAGATATTATGAGTCCACTAGAAGTTACGTAGGGACTAAGATTTGTTTTTTTTTTTAATTATTTCGCGTAGATATTGCATGTAAGCGGAACATTTGTTTGTCGCATTTATGCGTTTTGCACTTTTCACCAAAGTTCTATCTTGATATTCTAAGCCACATTAGCTTTCCAACCTGACCGTTTTAGATGACGATACTAGAAGCAGTCAAAATATACTTCAATAGTATGATTTTGAGTCGTGGTAATGCGGATACACCGACCTGTCAAGATGCGCAGTCTTCGCAAGCAGGCCTTACATACTTTTCTAAGCTCGTACTTCTCAAACTTAGATTTCACTTTCTAATACATAGTTACATCGCACCTAACTTCCGTGGCAGCGGATTTTTTCTCATTTTTTTCTTGGTCCTCTGTTTCTTGTGCATTTGTGACCTAACTACAGGGAAGTGAAGGGTGGTCAGTGCGAGGATGGCTCCGGTGGTAACAATTCGGTGAACAAACTTCTCACAGCCACGGCAGCTCTTTTGCACCAACACAAAGAAAAACAGGACAAACAAGAAAAACAGGACCGCGACCGTGTTGAACGGGAACGTATTGACAAACGTGAGCGTGAGGAGCGCAATGAACGAGATCGAGTGAGACGGACCCGCGAAGCTTGGCCCGCTGATAAAGATGCCTACGAACTCGGCGAGATTATTGGTACGTAAATCAGCGCCGCTGAGGATCAGGAGCACATTTCAGTTTTAGGAGGCCTATGATCTGTGAACTTGATTAAGCTTTATAACAGGAAAAAATTTAGAAAATATTGCAATTTAACATGTTTATACGCTTCATGTATCTCTGAAAGCTATTACATTCGGAGCTATTTGCCTTCAAAACTTGAAAACCTCGCAAATCAAAAATAGCATTTACCCATGTCGAACGGCTAGTGAAAGCTATTTGCGTCAGTTTTCATTTGAATCTAATATATATTGTGAATGAAAAATAGTTGTTTCCGGCGACGAGCTACTCATACGAGCTTGTGTATATGCTTTTAGCATGATCCACTAGCGTCGTCGAACACCCTTAAAGCTTGCTTATGTCTTGGTTTCGAAATTTTTCACTGTCAGTTTCCTCAGCTTCTGGAGACTCTTTTGGTTCAAGCGGCGTCGCCGACTCACTAGCTGGTTACAATGTCTCGACACAGTTACGATGAAACCTTCTTGGTCAGAGGTGCAAAAATGACCCGCTAAAGAAACGAGCTGTTCAACACGACCCAGTGGGCTAACGGTTCTCGACATGGATAGTTTCACATGGGCCACTGCGCTGTCGAAATGTCGGATTTGATAATGGTGCGAGTCACCTGCTGATTATGATATGCGTGACCAAGCGATTGTTATGATTCCCACCGACTGGCACTGTTCTTTCTCTAAAGGATGCCACAATACGTTTTGGACTCAAATTTTTGGTGGACCTTTTTTTGTGATGAACAGAGCCGGGAGCTCGACAAAGGCAAATTATCGGGCAGCTATAGTATGTCAATGACGTGCAGCGATCAACGTCGTAAAGTTTGACATGAAAAGCAAACCCCAGTACGACAGAATATACGCGCGTGCCATTGAGTGCAGGACAAACGAGACAATGTGGATAAGAATACTACAAAGAGCAAAACACAATGTGACTTGAGATATTGGGTGATATATTTAATCTGCATTGCAATTAATTAATCTGTATACGCAGCCAGAAGTGAGGAGCGTATTGAGTCAGTGTTGGTTGTCCCTAAATGGTTTTGTATACTCCCAGGTGATTGTCGTTTACAGCAGATGCTGATAGGCAAGACAGGAATCTGGCGCTTCTTACTCTGTGAACTCGACGGGCTTTTTCCATCAATTTACAGAATAGGCACAAATGATACTGGCATGTCGCCATCTCGAATTCGTCGAGATTTTTTTCGCTTACCGCATTGTCCGAACTAGTTGTTACACGAACTGTTATCCTACTATCACCTGCGTGGGTCTTACGTAGACGTTCACAGTATACCAAGCGCCTGGCTATTGCCTAAAGGACATGTAATATTAGCTGTTACCCAGGTGCAGCTTCGTTGCAATAAATGGCGCTTCATAATATCCACCGATGTTTCAAAGTTTATTGGATATCGTGTAGCAGCAGTGTTATTATAGAAAGTGATATCTTAAGCGTAGGCACGTTAATCGGCTATAGATAACCTCTCAAAGCTGGCTGCACGCTGCGGTTACCGCCCAATAAAATACGTCACCTCCGTTTTAGTTTTTTTTGACACGCCGGCGATCTTTATGGACTATGCTGTAAACCATAGATATGTTCATTTTATCAATGTAATATATCCAGGAGATTCAATCATCTCGTGCTATAAGTTCACCTTCAACCGGTTACCTGTGCATTCGTCTGGTACCGCGTTCAGCGCTATGATATCAACTGCAAGAGCGAGAGAAAATACTGTACTCTAGAAGTGCCATCCGCAGACGCTTTTCATTGAAAACCGTCCACGCTTACTATATCTAAGTATGTTATTAACGCTAATTATATGCATGCCCAATCTTATGGCGAACTAACTAGGCATGTTTGGTAATCATATGCCATTATGACATTTTGAAGAAAGGAAGGGGGGGACTACCCTAGAATAAAATGCCATCGGCAGTGATTTGTCGAGGAAGATTCGATCAGACAACGCTCCGCGTCATTACAAATTGAAAATTATAAACCTAACTGATAACTATTTAACTTCTGGTTCCTAATAAGGTGAAATGTTAAGTACACTTCCTTACCATTCCAAAACAAAGTGACGTTATTATAATTTTTGAAGAATTATGCATCTAGCAGCGAGGTCTATTGAAGAAACTCAAAAACAAGATATGGTTTCAATTACTTACGTCTGTGAACAGATAGCACTCAGCTCAACAAATAGGAAAGTTCATAGAGCAGTCCACGTGAAAAGGAACTGCTGAGTAAAATGGCTAGACCGGCCTGTTAGGTCGTCACATGCGCCATTTCACTCACTCATAAATTTGAATAATTTCGATATCAGCTTCGGTCCAATATTCCCAGTGTTCAGTCACGCACGTTGTATAACTCAGAAATTGATCTCAAGGTATCGACAACTGCACCCTTCTCTCTACTATAATGCGGCAGGTATATGGTCGCATGATACTTTTCTAATGTACTTTTACGTATATCGTTTCTGTGCCGACGCGACGTCATGTTCAAACTCAGTGAGTATAGGAAAACTTATTTTTGTGCACAAGCTCTAGGCGTATTGTTTGGCCGCTAGCTGGCCAGTAGAGCGGCGACCTTGAATGAGGTCGCTTTGCATCGTCGACAAGGCACCTATAGCTCAAAGAACCACATCTGTACGTTACTTCTTTACATGCTTACTTCCAGGTGGACACTCAAAGGCAACACCTTCACTGCCATTTCTGACTGGTTGACTAACACGAATCCTGTGTAAGAAACAAACGTTCTGAGACACCATACAATTATATGATACCTTTGAAACTGAGTTGGCGTGTGATTACCAAACAGGAATGAGAAAACAAAAGCATGTTATGTAACGGTGCCCGCTAGATTTTGGAAACATGAAATCTAGTAAATACTCGAATTCATCATACATTTTTCAATATATACGGATACCGTCTGCATAATAATAAGATCCCTCATTATTTATTTTAGGCAAAGAAGTTACGTGAAGTTCTGGGATATTTACTTGCTCAAATTTGAATAAAGTATTCGAATTATTATAGTAACTCGTACTGATCAATTACCGTTGTCACGATGAGCGCGTTAACCTTGACATCTAAGCTAAAGTTTAATTGTCGGTGGGATAAAAAGAGTCGAATTTAAGGTTTCGCCATACTTTCGTCGTATTATCGCACTTGTATTCATTTTCATCGGGCGAATACACCATAGTTATGATTATTTAACTTCCGAAGTTCTCTGTATAACACAAGTTAGACGCAAGCCAGAAATTCGTTTATCGTTTGTCCCATTCACGACAGACACATGGTCACTAAAAGCCTTTAAGATTTAGATGTAACACATTCCGTATGCAATGTTACAGTTAATTATAATAATTAATTGACCGTCCAAGGCTTTGCTGTCTGCACTGAAATAATCTTCGATCGACTTTTTTACACGCGTAACGTCTAAGACTATCTGGTTGGGCAATATCTCATGTGGGCTCTATTTTACGTTCACTAATTACACCTAGAATCTCCTTTCGTTACAGGCATTGGAGCTACCGCCGTTGTGCACGCGGCCTTCTGTCGGCCTCGGGGTGAGCGATGTGCGATTAAGCGTATTAACCTCGAGAAATGCAACACCTCAATGGACGAACTGTTGAAAGAGATCCAAGCAATGCGAGCGTGCAGTCATCCCAATGTTGTTTCTTACTATACCTCATTCGTTGTAGGCGATGAACTATGGCTAGTGATCAAGCTTTTAGCTGGCGGCAGTCTTCTCGATATCATCAAGGTAAAACACAAATCTACATGCAGAATATCGACAGTCGTTAAATCTTGTTAGGAAAACTGGATTTTGGCATCTTGCCATTGTTGTGCTCTGCGTGTATTTTGCCGTAACTTACTGAATGATCGTTGAAAATATGATCAGGTTTTTAAATCGCTGACATATTTCTAAATGTCTAATGTCGAGCTGCGGGTTTTATTGGGTTTGCAGCATCAAATGAAGGCTGAGGACTGCACACATGGAGTGTTCGACGAAGCTACCATTGCCACTGTACTTCGCGAAGTACTGAAAGGCCTGGAGTACTTCCATCATAACGGACAAATCCACCGAGACATCAAGGCTGGCAATATCCTGCTAGGTGAGGATGGCACCGTACAAATTGCCGGTGAGTGGGACTTTGTTTCTTGTTAAACAGTATTGGTTGCGCAAAGCGTATATAGGAAAATTTATTCAGGATTGTCTAATTATTTGTGCTTGTTTCAACTTACTGTTTATTTGATGAGAAAAATATTGCATTTATAAGATACACTGGCCTCTGATTATAGGTTGTATGTCGATCTAGATGTTATTAAAGAAATAAGTTATGCGTTTTCAGACTTCGGTGTATCTGCATGGATTAATACTGATTCATTCTGCCGCACGAAATCTCGACACACGTTTGTGGGTACTCCATGTTGGATGGCACCTGAAGTTATGGAACAAGTTACGGGATATGACCATAAAGCGGATATCTGGAGCGTAGGTATAACCGCGCTCGAACTCATCACTGGCTCCGCTCCTTACGCCAAATACCCGCCAATGAAGGTTCTTATGCTCACCTTACAAAACGATCCACCGAGTCTCGACACTATCGCTTCAGATAAAGACCAATATAAGGTAAGTACAATCATTCATGTGCTCAAACCTTTGCCAGGTTCACAAGCTGTAGTTGTAGCCAAAAGGACTGTTTGAAGGGCAACAAGTTTATGTACACATGCCCACTAGAGATGGATTCTTTATTTGTCCACAGACGTATGGCAAGACAATCCGAAAAATGATCACTGATTGTCTGCAGAAGGACCCGGACAAGCGGCCGACCGCGTCTGAATTACTACGTCATCCGTTTTTCAAGAAGGCTAAGGACAAGCGATACCTAACGCAAGCGCTGCTTCTCTGCACCCCCGGTATGAACCAGCGAGCACAAAAGCTACGAAGATCACGCCGAGGCAGTGAAGCATTTGCCCTCAAGTACGCGTACGTTCTTCAACGGTTTAGGCCGCTTCCTTTTTCTTATAAAAACGTTACAAACAGACTGCTATTATTATTCATCGACCCGACCAATTGAGTTTAACCAATATGAATGTATATAGCCAACATATAATATCCACGTTGTCGCATTAGCTTGATAATTATTTACTTATGAAGCAAGCTTTAATCAAGCTTAGTTAACCTTCATATGCATACATTTCGAAACCTACAATGATGTATTGTTATCGCTGTTTAAATGTGTAGAAGCCATAGACGGGGCTCCGTGAATCCTGACACAGGTGATTGGGTCTGGTCCGAAGAAGAGGAAATTGAGGACATTACTGAAGGAGATTCGGAAGATTCCGACGACAGTGACACACCATTGCATGTCGCTTCTCCGGAAGAAAAAGCTCTTAGGCAGAAGGCCATTGAAATGGCTAATCGAGAAAACACCTCGTCATCGGACGAAGAAAGCGAGCACGCGCGTCTTAGGGATCATGCGACTATAGAAAGACGTCGCGCCGACCGAGCCGCTGCGAGGCAGATCGCAACCGCCGCCGGCATCAATAATAGCAGCCTCAATAAGACAACACAAGAAAGCGGCAATGGCAAAAGGGTGTGTTTAACTGATAATGATTGGCCTTTTTTAACGAAAAAAGCACAACCGAACAATGTCCCCTCAATTTGCTTTCTATTACTTCTGCATTGCACCACTCAAGGCTTTACAACCTGTTGTACTCAATTTTCAGGTTAACACGATTTTGTACTTAGATGCAGTGTACAAGAAATTGGAGGATAACCTTTTTATCGAGTTAAGAAAGACACTTTTATTTATTATACGTCTTTATTGTTGATTTCAGAAAAAGCAAATTCCTGAACAAACGGAGCACACTGTAGTCGACGTGCCAAAAATTGTTGTCAATGATGAAGCCGAACTCAATCTTGCTCTTCGGATTCGTAACAAACGAAAGGAGTTAAATGATATTAAATTCCAATTTCTCAAGTCGCGTGACAGCCCTCAAGAATTAGCAGCTGAATTGGTTGGCGCAGGCCTGGTTCCTGATCAGGATCAAGATGTTGTATTGCAAAGCCTCCAGAAATTGGTAGAGGACCCTCAACAGGGGAAGTCAATTGTGTTCCCTCTGGCACCCTCTGATGCATGGCCTGAGCCCGATCAACAGCGCCTTGTAGGCTACGCACAGATTAAGATTATTGGATGAGCGTTTGCCGCATTGCCACAGCAGCTTTGAGGGTATGAATAATTTGGCCACCTCTTTTTTTGAAATAACTTATGATATTCCGCCATAATACGTAATCTCTAGCTGCAACAATTTAAGTTACGTCGCCCAGAAACGTACAAAAATTCGTTAAAAACGGCAAGATTTGACAAGTCACAGCATAATGGATAACAATTTGTTGGGTTGTGTGCAGAAATCGCAATATATGCTACTTATTGGAAAAACAGCTTGAAATTGGCATTAATAGCACAAGTGTTTATTCTCAAAATAACTTAAACGCCTATTTATATTTGTACTACGCACTTTTGAGACAGCACCAGGAATTGTATCTGTCAAACAAAAGTTGATCCGTATTACATAAGCGATGCCTCGCGAATGTTGCCCTGACCTGATCTATACATAAATGGATCACATGAAAACATCGTGGCATATCATTGTTCTATAAATGTTATATCTATGCATTTATTTGAGTAAAACTAGATCAAAGTGTGGCCACGACAAGAAGAGGATTGAGGGTAACTAAATACAATGAACAAAATTTACTGTCGATGACTAATGAGATTACTTTTGATGTCAACCCAACACGTTTGTTTTATTCAATCTGATATTTCGCTTAGTTTCTATATATACACGATTTTTCTATGACAAAACCCATGTCATACGTGTCGTGCTGCTGGCGAACGTTGAAAGCTCTTTATCCATCATAAACTTCACAACTTCCATTGTAGCAAACTATGAACCAAGGCGAAAAAATCGATTACTTGCTTGCATCAAGTCACTGAGATGTCAACGTGTGCCTTTATTGACATTTTTTGGGAGTTGATATTTGATTTGTATACTGTCAATGAAATCTACGTCCCATTTGGTGATGGTGGTAAAAGTTCATATGTTTCATGTGATGATATTAGATGAATATAATTTTAAAAAAGTAACTGCTATCGATAGTATGTATTTAGAGCTATCTTTAGGCAGTTTGACGTAAAGCTTCGCCCAGCGGCATTATGAAAAGCTATACTTGTGAGAAATGTGTTGTCAAATATGTTGAAAATAAATTATATCTGTTCGTTAAATAAAACTGAAGCCTTTGTTTATTGAGTTTAGCGAGCTTATAGTTGACTTCGTAGCAAATAGACGCAATTTTGTGCTGCGCATATGAGTAGCTTCTGTACAAAAAAAAAAGCTAAGTCTTCTTTTGTTAATTTGAATTGAGATATACTTTGAATTACATTTGATGCCCCGGAAATATGGTAAGCTATTTTGGGTAAATCCACAAAATAACCGCTCTACAAATTGGATAAAAGAAAGCAAACATTGGTAAAGATTAAACTGCTTGTAAAAGAGAATTAAAATTATTTTTTTCTATTTAATGTTTTTTTTTTCTAAGTCTCCTTAATAGCCTTAGCAATCATGCAACATGTCTTGAAAAACGTGCAACAGGAGTTGGCCAAAACGAAAGTAAAAGTAAGCTACTTAGAGCTATTGGCGAAAAGCGTCTTCAAATGCTTCAAGTTCTCAAAAATCCGATACAGCTATTAAGCTTTGCTTCACACCACGGGCTCCTTCCAGCTGGCAACCAAGTCTGTCTACATCTAGCTTTGAATTTAAAATACCTCTGTGTTTTTCCGAGGCAAACGTGTTATCACTGCGCCATCGCAGTTTGAGCAGGTCTGCCCCGAAAAACATTTTTACCGCCAGAACTACGCCTAGCCTTGATCTATTAGAAATACTAGTAGGCACTATTATGCATTCCTTATATAAAAAAAGCCTTGACCTACTCGATGTGAACCAAAGAGTTAATTATTTGGCACTATTGTTTTATCGCAGAAATAGTACCCCGCCTTTGCTTGAGATAGCTCTATAATTATATTTTTAATTGCGCGCACCCAATGAGATAAAATTAATGCGGCGTCGTTACTTGAGCACGTCGTAGGACTCAGCGAAAAATGGATGCCTGTCAATTCCATGGTAAAAAATAAGATAGAGTTCAAGTTTACACTGCAAAAAATAACTGATTTCACTTCACATTTTTCACCGTTTCAACGAATTCAATGACACGACTACTCTGATGGAGACTTGTTTTCAGTTAAATTATTATTTTTGTAACAGGCAGTTCTTATTGATTAACACGAGAACTAAACGTCTTGTCAACCACAACGGTGGTCTCCATTAGATAGCACTGCCATGCAATATCTGTAACAGTTAATATGACCTATGGCGCTTGATGCAGTTAGAAGAACATCTAATAAGTCTACGGAGAGTTATATCCAGAAAAAATGGAATCTAATATCACTCCTTCGGTACATTTGAATGCACTGTACAAATGAGTTGAATTTAACTGCTATGAAGTTGCTTACGCGGCACTGAATAATTACAGAAACATATGAGTTTCCCTCATGAAGAGGCTCAGATTATTCTGGGCCTCCAGTTTTTGTCTGACTTTATAGACTTCTCAATGGTTTGATCCTCTTCCGTCATTTATTACGGTATCTGACAATATTGAACGTCTCCAAAATGTATAGGTCTTGATGAACTACAGTCACGAGTGTGTGTCGGCCTGCTCAATAAAAAGAAGTCGACGAAGCTTTAACACTAGGATTTTGACGCGAAATTTAATTAAATCACCTTATAAGAGTTCGTTTAAGCACAAACTAACTCAAGAACAAATTTAGTTTCTGCCTCATAGGCAGATGTTTTTCGAAGATTGTTAAAGACAGTTCTTCCTGTAGTACTCAAGTTCGTTTTGAATCAAGTTTAAAGTTCAAAATCAAATTATGCAATTCATTATAACTTTTTTTTTTATAAGTTCTTTTAATATGCCGGGCGATTTTCACGGCACATGCATATTTTCCTTGTACGAACTAAAACGCTTTATTTTGCTGTTCTCGCCAGTAGGCCGCAAGGAGTCAATCGCTTGGTCTCATTTTTAGCCGTAAATTTAATTGCTTAATATTGTTGTTTTACAGTGGAAGCTGAATGCCTGCCCCGGGTATACAAGTTCCAGTACTTTTTTAAAGCTGGAAGTATATAATCCTGAACACAGATTAGCCACTAATATTAGGTAAAGTGATTCTTAAACTTATGTCTTATCAAGAATGTGTCCTGTTTCGTTATTGTATTCAAAATTTTTATCTGTGCAAATACAGCAAAAGGTAAAAATTGATGCTGAATTGTTTTCTCCTTGTATTGTTATAGCTGCTGGCGGGTAAACGTGTTGTACACATTTCACACAGGCGCTTTTTTACTGTTAAAAAAGGCACGTGCTTCGAAAGTATCTTGTATTAGAATCAGATATTCTTGCTACATTTGTCTTGGTTAATAATCTTACTACCTGACTGAACAAACTCTTATGAGTGTTCTTTGAAAGGATACAACTTTATTGACAGTATTCACACGGTGTAAGAGCAGAGGCGGTTCGGAAAGCTGCATCAGAAAAATTTTTATCTAAATGGTGAACCGACAAGTGGTCGCCTCCAGTGGGTCTCCTCGATGTGGACCTGTGCGTCTACAGCTGGAGCCAGACCTAACGATTGTTCCTAGCGAACTCTAATAAAAGCTCGAAGTTTTGTCTGCTGCATTGCCAATATCTGGCATACCTTTTCATAACCGGGAATTATGTCTCAGCTGTACCAGTTCGTGTCCAACGGTGGGTCAAAACCTAGGGTATTTTGTTTTGAACAGCACAATATCTAACAAAGCAAGTTTTGTCTTAAACTAAATAAGAACACTACTGTTATTATAGTTTTACCGTACCACATAATTACGATTTCGAAACAGAATCTATTTAGTACTACATAGCACAAACATTGATTTAAAGAAATGTGCTTTTATCCCATATACAAATTTGTAAAGAGTATCGTGTATACAGTGCTTTCTGTATAGCTGTCAAATGTTAGTAATTATATATATATATATATATATATATATAGGTAGACATCGATGATGTATCGAATGTATAATGTAAGTATACACCGGCATAGCGGCCTATGTACAAATGGATCTTATGCAACACCTAAGCGATGTTCAATGTATAAGGGGATGCTGGAACGCCAATGACATTACCTGAAATTAGAAGAAATTCGATTAGGTGGATTGGTTCGAGCTCTTGCGGAATGCTAGTCAAAGGAAAAGCTTCTAATATATTGTGCCTAGTAACGGGATGCATCTGATAGAACTACAAACGGAATACTAGGCGAAAAAGGTTGTAGCGCGAGTATTATAAACGACACAACCCATAAAAAGGCACACCAGCAGTGTGTTTACACAAGAACGTGACAGCTGTTTTTTGACTTTTACGAATAATTTTACGAAATAATTCGACGAATACCCATGAATGAAAACGTTACGTACCTCTAAAGTTTTTTTTTAATAGTCAGAATCATTATCATCATTGTTGAAATCGTCGTCATCATCATCGCTTTCGACGTACATTTTCTTGCGCGCTCTCTGCGGCGGTTTCTTCACTGGCGCATCTTCTCCATCGGAGAATTGTGCTGGCCTTTTCTTGGCTGCAGTAGTGGTGGTAATTGTTGCAGCCGCTTTGCCTTTTGGCTTAGGTTCGGCTTCAAAATCCGAGTCGCTGTCGGCTTTTCGACTGGTTTTCTTTTTAACGCTGTTGATAAAATCGTCAAAGTCATCTTCATCCTCGGAGTCCTTCTTCTTCTTTGGCTTAGCCTTGGACTTTGCAGTGCCTGCAGCAGGCGGTTTTTTCGCTGACCCGGCTGGCTTGTTGTTATTGGAGGCGGTTCCTCCGCCTAGGCTACTGCCCATAAGGGCGTCGAATGCGTTCGCAGCGGCAGCAGGCGACTCAAATTCGACCTTCTTAGCCCTCGCGCTCAACGGGGGAAGATCGTCCGAGTCCGAATCACTGGGAACATTTACTGGGGGATGGGGAGACAAGGGACTGTCATCAACGGCAGCTTTTTTGGCTGCGGCCTCCTTTCGCGGAGTAGCAGCAGTTTTTTTAGGAGGTGTATCATCGTAGTCGTTTTTCATTGAGCCACCCACCTCGCCGTCGCTATCCTGGCCGAACGCAGTTTCCTGTGAGAAAAATGTCAAATTCGCATTAGAGTATCAGCGGCACGCGCTATGTCAAAGGTTTGGGTATGGAATGCCTCAAACGGGAGAATAAACGAAAATTGTATAAACGAAAATAAACGAAAAGAAACGTGCGACCCTGGCTTTCTTTTCTTATCAATATTTATGGTAGAGCACATCGAAACAGATTTAAAATGTGATCAAACTGTGCGAATATAGCGAATCAAAGCAGATTTGCAGAGTCGGAAGCTTCAGTTATACGTTCGGTTATTTATTTCTATAACAGATTTAAATTTTTTTACCTTGTTATCGGAATCATCGTCGCTGAAGTTATATTTGATCTTCGTTGAAGCCGCACGTCGGCTGCTTTGCCTTTCAGGGACTGCAGCGGCGGCTGGGACGGTGCCCTCGAACATACCTTCCTGGTCGGAATCGTCACTTTCGCTGAAATTCTTTTTCTTAAAGGCCAGCTTTGTTTGCTTCATGCCGTCGGATTTTTTGCGCGGCTTTACATCTTTGACCGGAGTTCCGCTTTCTACCTTAATATCGCCATTGCCATTTTCTTCACCGTTGAGCTCTTTCTTAGCGCGCTAGAAGTGGGTCATGGAATAACGAAACATGAAAGCAGAGGATATCGCTGTTACCACTTGGATAAAGACTTTCCTTTACACTACAGTTTTTGTTGGACACTGAGTATTCTACTACTTAGACATGACCATGCTTAGTGGATGCATTAGTAGGCTTCCACAGGCATTGACAGACAGAAAAACATACACGATTACTAGAAAAAATAAAGAAGTTGGCATAATGCAATGAGAGCATGCTACTGGGAGAGAACAAATAAGAAGGCACAGAATCCTAGCTTAGATATTACATAAACTACGAAGTGTCTACTTGAAGCCAAGCTACAAAGAAGACACGGCTATAACACGAAAATATATTGTTAGCTACATTTATTTAAAAAAAAAATGATTTAATTCATTTTCTACTACTGCACGTGTACATTAACATGACTATAAGCACTGTCCTTACATCCTTCATTAATATATTTTATAACACAATATTTCGCCATCCATATATGCCTCTGTAGCTTCATGAAGTTAAATATTAAAAAACAGCGTCAGTTTATGAGGTTTAAATTCCGATACTATTTTCCATTGAGAACCTGTTCTTCTCCGCATCGAATAATATTTAGCCGAGTGCAAAAACTATACAATACACCTGGCAAATCTTATTAATCTTAGTACGCTACCAGACATTATAGGCAAGATGTTCGGTCGGAGTCGCGCAGATATTTTTCGACACGTAATGGAAGAAGGACCTTTTTCAAGAGGCCCTAATGCCAATCTCGAGTACGTATGCAACTGCCTCATTATGGATTCATTGAACTGCAGGTCCCAATCTTCCATGTCGGTCGTACTACTTACGCCTCGCTTTCCAGGTTCTCCCTTTGGCTTCGTCGCCTTGGCAATCTTCTCTTTAAGTGCATCGTCGATTTTTGGAAGCACACGTTCCGCGGCAGGAGACGGCATATACTCTGGGTTCTTATTCTGCGCCCGTCCGCCCTTTGTCTTTTGAGCCGGAATAGCCTTGCTCTGCAAGCAGGTAGGATATTTATACAGTTGAGTTTGGCAAATATCTTATTTCGTAAACGTAGGTTATTTCGATTTCCATGCAGTATCTTTGTAGGTTAAATAATCGTCAAACCACTCTGTAATTTAAAACCTCTGGATTCCTGAAATGATTTACTTTGGCAGATAAGTCAGCGACATACCTTGACCTTTTGTTGTTCTTCTCGCTCTTTACGCTCGACCTCTTCGAGCTTAACGAGAAAATCGTCTAAGTCAGCCATCCAAAGATCCTTGGGTGTTTTTCTCTTGAGGATGTCAAGCTCAGACAGCTTCTGATCGCGCTTCTTTAGCAATTCCTCTTTCTTTTCGTAAGTGAGATTCCACATAGTCATGCCAAGCAAATAATCGTAGTTCTTCGTCTGCAGATCATCTCGAACTTCCGGGGACTTTTCCTCCTCATCTTCGTCATCAAGGCCAGCTTCGGCTTCTTTTTCCTGATCAGTGGTATTCTTGTCTTTCCATTTAAGCATTGGATCTGGGTCGTATCCTCGCTCGACAAGGATTTTCATCATTTCCTTCTTTCTTTTATTCTCCACAACGAGCCTTCCATCGCACTTCTCCAAGATAAACCTGGCCTGGTTACTGAGTTTATCGGCTTCTGCCGTCAACAAGCCAATCAGATAATCACGCCGTTTGACGTAACCTTGTAAACGGACATTGAAAAACTCCTCAAGAATTTCCTCTGGTTTCTGGTAAAAACGGATGCAGCCGTTAGAATCGAAAAGCACCATCGAGGTAGTTGCGATTGTCGTCTGTAGTTTGAAGGTTTTGTGCAGGCCTTCATCCTCGGCTTTAGCGAGGTTTCGCTCATCCATTTGAACTACAAAACGTATAGTCGTGTCGGTATTATATTCTTTGTAGTCCTGGATGATACCTGGGACCTTGTCCGAACCATGCAACAGAGACTCTAGGACGTTTTCTTTGTATGTTTGGGTCCAAGTTTTGATCGGCAATTCAGTAATTTCGATCTTGTTCGACCCCAATATACCTAGCTCGCCATGGACGACGTATCTCAGACCTTCGTCAATAGCCTCAATTTCGCCTCTGAAGCCCTTATACCATGGCTTCATTTTTTTTAGTGGCTCGTCGTTAATTAAACGTTTGATGTTTGCGACAATCTCTCGAGGATTGTAATTTGGCACCTTAGTGCTCCAGCCCGTGCCGATACCTTCAGCACCGTTAACTAAGATCATTGGAATAATAGGCAGATAGAAGTCGGGTTCAATCTTCTGGTTATCATCAAAGAGATAGTTGAGCACGGGATCATCCGAAGTAGGAAATAGACTTCGTGCCAATGGGCTGAGTTTTGTGAAAATGTACCTGGGTGACGCAGAATCTTTGCCACCCTGCAGCCGAGTACCGAATTGACCGATGGGCTGCAGTAGGTTGATGTTATTACTGCCCACGAAATTTTGGGCCAAGTTGACGATTGTCATCATTAGCGACTGTTCACCGTGGTGATACGCCGACATTTCTGCTACGGATCCAGCAAGCTGGGCAACTTTGACTTCTCGCTTATCGTTCCTCTTGAAGCAGGTGAACAATACCTTACGCTGTCCTGGTTTAAGACCATCAATTAACGACGGAATTGATCGTTCATTATCCATATTAGAAAATAGAATCAGCTCTTTATGCACGAAATCATTAAATGACACCGACGTTGTGTTTTTGCCGTAAAGGTAGATCTCAGGCAAACCGAGGCATCGACGCTGTTTACGCTCTTCCATACCATTCGTAAGCCATGTTTTACGCTCGTCTATCATTTTTTTAGAGAACGCCAGTGTAATAGCGCTATCATCTTCAGCGCCCTGATAGTGAAACGTAACGCGATGACGTTGCATATCTGAAAAGTATTCTTTGGCCTCCTTAGCCGTCGAGGTTCCCAAACCTAAAACATTAAATAGAGAAATAACAAACAGTCGTTACAACACTTAAATAACCTTAGAATGACCTCGAAGAAAAGAACAACCTATAAAACCTAGTTTCTCTGTCATCATTGCATTTATAGCAACGTGATCTTTCGCCAATGACCCGACATAATTTTCTTAGTATGTGTTTCACCTTCGCTAGTATGCTATGGTACAGAAAAAAAAAACAGTCTGCATCGTAACATAGCCACGAACGTGGAGAGCATGGCTTAGCATTAATCCGAAAAACTTACCCTTATAGTATTTTATACGGAACGTATTCCAGTTGGGCGTAGCAGTTTTCCACTCCTCAAATTCAGGAAGCGAAAAGAACGATAGCTCCTGATTTCCCTTTACGGCCTTCACGATCGGGGTAATAAACTCCTCAAGGAAATTCATTTTCAGAAGCGATGGCCAGTTGTGGTGGATAAAATTGATTAGCAGACCTTTAATGTGAGAGCCGTCCTGATCCTGATCGGTCATGATCATCACCCGACCGTATCGAAGTGTCTTCATATCATCATGGCTCTCGTATTTCTTTTTGTACTGAAGGCCGACAATTTTGATTATATTATTAATTTCGGCGTTTTCAATAATCTGTTTGTGCGACGCCTCACGAACGTTAAGAATTTTTCCTTTGAGTGGGAACACACCGTATTTGTCTCGTCCTATCACGCCCAAGCCTGATACAGCTAACGTTTTGGCTGAATCTCCCTCGGTAAGAATAAGCGTACAGTCAATACTACGGGCTGTGCCAGCATCATTAGCGTCCTCTAGTTTCGGTATACCCTTTAGCTTGGACACCTTGCTCTTCGAGCACTTTCTATTCATTTCTTTCTGGGCCTTGAACTGCACCCATGACATAATCGCCTCTACAATACCACATTTCAAAACATTGCTCTGAAATTTCTCCGACAGATCGCATTTCGAGCCAAACTGTTTAGCTTGTTTAGTCATATTTTCTTTGGTCTGCGAGTCGAAGGAGGGATTTTCGATAAGACAGTTGATAAAGATCCACATGTGGTCGCGGATCTGCTTTTTGCCAATGTTGACACCAGCTTTATTCTTCTTTTTGACCTGCTCAGCCAGCTTTTTGCACAGCGAGTCCACTACATACTCGACGTGTGTACCACCCTTAGTTGTTGCAATGCTGCGAAAACAGTAAGTAGGTGAAAAAAATACACCCAATATTTAGCACACTGAGCTGTGAATAACGCCTCACATCCGCACTCGCTTATTTTGTCCGAATGTGAAGAACATGCTATCTAAACTTCAATGTTGCAGCTACAGTTATTTAAAGGCAAATTAATGAAAAGTCAAGCCAATAGAAGCATTTCAGATTAAACTCCTCGGGGGCGCAGAACAAACCATTAGGATGCCTTTCATAAGAGCACTACAACTGCCTTTTTTTATAAGAGCACTGCAAGTAACTGCCCATCTACTTCGGTCACTAAGATTGTTGATACGAAAGCCAGCATTAAAGTGTGCTTAATGTGTCACTGTTATTATATGAACGAATTTTCGGTATACTATATCCGTTATATTCTCAAAATGACAACTGACTCACTTGTTCACGAAGCTCATCTGTTTAAAATCACCTTCAGGTGAAAGGCAACAGGCAACCTCCCATCGAGGATTTACGCTTTCGTGGACAACAACGAGCGGCTTATCGCTGTCCTCATGCAGGCATTTTGACGTAAACATCTGCACGTAGTCTTTAAACGATTTGATCGGCAACCTGTTAATTAATCCGATAGAATAGTGAATAGAATAAATGTGTGCTGTACATCCAATCATTTGCTTACATTGATTACCAACCTACTCTACCTGAGGCACTAAATATTACTGGCACATGTCCGTACGATTAATAAAAACAATGAACTAGCTTCACACAGCAACTTGTCCACACGTTAAATATACAAATGGCTATCTGTCATAAGGGTAGAAAGAGTTCACTCTTAAGTATTGTCTAGGATTCACACCTGATTGACCGCGACACTATACCAACCTCGTTCCGTTAAGAAACACCTTCACACCAGGCGTACATCCGGCAACATCATAGGCACGCCGGCTGATCAAGGCAACGAAATCCTTGTCCAGTGTCTCCATCTTGAATTTTGCTAAATCTGGATAAAAGGTCACTTTTGTGTAATCCTGAGACGAATCCACAATTTTCGGGTCGGCTGTTTTTGTCATGTTATCCGTCCAGGTCTGTTTGAATGCCCGTTTGCTCTCTCGAGAAGCCGTTTCCACCGTGAATTTAGTCGAGAATATGTTGCACAGTTTTGCACCGTAACCATTACGGCCACCAGTAACTTTTTTTTCGTCATCATTATAGTTCGACGACGTCAACAGATGACCAAAGATTAGCGTGGGCACGTAGCACTTCTCTGTCTTGTGCATCACAACAGGAATACCTTTTCCGTTGTTCCAGACCGAGATCATATTTTTTTCGGGGTCAATTTCAATTTTGACACAATCCTGATTTTTGTCGCGTTGTTTATTGTCTGCTGCATTCACGAGAATTTCGTCAAAGATCTTGTAGAGACCTGGCACGTAGGTGATCTCCCGGAACTGCATCCCGTCTTGTTCGCCGTCGTACACCCACATCTTCTGGGTGTGCGGCTCCACCGAACCGATATACGTGTCCGGACGGAGTAAAACATGCTATTCAACCAATTACAAGAAGCAAAACAGACAGGACGAAAATCATAAAATAAGGCTTCCGTTAATATGCTGTTAGAAAACTGAAAGACAAAGTCTAACAATATACTCGCCGTGTTTATTACGGTTTTGTCTGTAAAAACCAATAAATTGTCTTCTATGAAAGCTCAGAGTAAGAATTTGAAAAAAACTTCCAAAATAAACAGTATGAATCTCGCACGGAACTAATACCAAAACCCCAAAAAATGGTAACATACAGTACAATGTCGGCGAACCTATGAGAGCAAACCTACGGCAAACCATTTGTCATTTATCTTTCAGTTTTGCTTTAGCTAATATAGTATATATGCAAGCTTTAATAGATATCCGCACTGTATTGGAAAGGTTTGGATTTCATAGGTGTAGTAATAAATGCTTATTCACAATTGGCTAAACGGCATTTATGCTTTCATTATAGAATAATAAGCGTGTAGACATTGACAGTATACAATCAACACTGTTTTCTACTTCAAAGCAATTCAACATTAATTCTCTACGATTTAAAGCAATACAATAGAAACTATAGTATTTTAAATACCTTAGTCTAGTTGTTTTAACCTATTTCGGAGTTCTGAGAAGTTTAGTGTGGTTTTACATTAAATATAAGTTATATATAGACGTGTTCTTTCTGATCAATGCGCCCAGCAAGTGTGACCCTAATGAGTTTATCTCTTCGCTGTAATCCCGTGCCCTTATAATGAAATATTAATTGTCGCAAAATATTCCGGGTTGGCCCTTCCTGCATGCATTGTCATGCCAGTGACATTTTCCCCTTCCCGAAATTCCCTTCTGTCCTACTCTGTATTCTGCCGATAGCGTCTAGCATAACGCTCAATATAAGCAAAAACCGAAAACAAAATGTTACCCTTACTTTTTGTATACGCGCATACCAGCGGCACTTGATAGCACTAGCTTAGCTAGTTAGGGCGTCACTCGATTTGGCCTGGTTGGACAAAACACATTTGTGCCATATGCATGTATGATTGTATTGTTGCGCAAACTGGCTGCCGGCCTCCGCTCTCTCTCTGAATGGTCGGTGTCGTCGGCCCTAATATAATAATGGTATTAATAATAATAATAAAAGCTACAAATCTCCACTATATCAATATTTCGATTGGTATACCACGGCGTCGGAGCAATATGATAATCTCGATCAGTTATCTTCTAAATATTAGGTCAAGTATCGCGTACTACGAACGGTAAGTTCACTACATAGGTACTTATAAATCAATGGGCGAGCGAGCAGCGGAGCAGAACCATAAAACAAAGTGCGGTGTTGCCGTTGTGTTTAAACTTCTTCTCGTTTTGCTCTTATCGAATATAGAAACAAGGGAAGCGTACAAAGACCGCTTCTGGGGGGTGGTGGGATGGGTCGGTCGAGGGGAGGGGGAATGGGGGGAGAAACTGAATGAATAAGTGGAAGGTCCGTCCCACTTTAACAGCAACGGACAACGAACGCCGCAGTTAAGAGAGTCAGAACCGGCAAATCGTTCTTTTTTCGACCGGCACACCACCCCAAACTGACCGAGCAACCGTCTGACAGCAAGCGAACTGTCGAGTGCCTCGGCGGGGCAACGACCGTTAGAAGGCCGCGCTGTGGGTCGTAGTTTGGAAACCCGAGATTCGTTCACGTAACATCCGACGACAAGGCTCGCGGCAATCACAGAAGTACGCTTAAAATAATCTACTCTAGATTCTACCGAACCCTTATAGACAACGTATATTGTTTAAACTGAAAGCAACACACCGCAAGCATTGCAAGTTGAATGCAAGCGACGCCAGCGAAAAGCCGCTACCTGTGATATTGGATGCCGCAGTCGACTGCTTACTGCTGTGTAGTACAATACGAGGTAGTGGTAGACAGACGATGCAGCTCCCTGAGTCCATATCTCTATTATACAACGCGTTGAAATGAACAGACGAAGTGCGACAGGCCTTACCTCAAGTTGGGACTTTTTCTGGTAGATCTTTTCGATGTCCTCCCCCATCTCAAAGCCGAGAGGGTGCGATCACGTCTTGCACTCAGCGTCCACGCAACACACTGCCAAGCCGAACGTGAGCGTAGGTTGTCGCCGCCGGAAAGATGAGCTCGGCTGCCGGTCCGACAAGAGCGCCAAGCAACGACTCTTCAGGAACCAGTTCCCTAATGGCGCCAAAGCGGGTAACATGCACAATTTCGAAATCTATGACGGAGCATTATCTTGCGGATAAGTTGGGCTGCTCCGAAACCACAGAAAGCTGTAGATGCTGATTCAATTTCTTAACTATTAATGAATTCGATAGTCTCTACGTAAGTCGCACACGCTTCTAACGGAGGTTTATGATAACACATGTTGCTTATATTATACATCCGAGACGACGCATATCGTCTAATTGAAAGATGCCCAAGTATGAATATTGTTCCGAGAAATACCGTCTGTGCATGAGGTGTGCTCTTCGTCTCCAATGTTGTGTTTTTCATCTCACATCTAAAGTCTGTATACAGAAAAAATAGCACTATTGAGCCTCACTATATGCGAACAGACTATTCGAACACTGTAGCGAGATCATATCTTGCAATTTGCGTAAGAGACAATTGTTTCTTTTTAGTGTTTCTCCACTATTTTGTCTACCGCGCGAATGACGTTCCATCGTGTGACTTGGGAGTGAGTGTTCATGCACAAAAATTTTTTGTTTTTTGAAAACTCAGTTTCCTCTCTCTTTCGTGGCTGCACAACTAATGCGCATCTGCTATGGTGATAGTGTGACTCGGCCGTTTGAATCAAATTTTTATCTTAAACTTGGTGAGGGATTTCCTCTCGTACGGACTTGCTCGACGTCAAAGGGCGTATAGCTAATCACCGCCGTTAATGAATGCAGCGTCAACAATGAACGTAAGTTGAGAAAATTTAGCATTTTAATAGCTAAAGGTCGACTCCATTTTTCGAATTCTACAACCTACTATAACAGGAACCATGCGCTTTGCGAAACTCCCAATGCAGTCTGAAAGTTTCGTTCGTAAAGAGGGGTTTGTAGCGTAGATGCGTAGAGTTGTCTGAGTTTAGCAAGATAACGTCGTATAGCACTGACGACCCAGCATTCTAGCCGTCCAGACTTTCCTCCTCCCAGCCCAACTTGTGCTGCTGCTGTTATTCTGCCTGTTGTCTTCACGGTGGCGCTTACCGTCGTCACAGCATCAATCGCAGCATTCACTGATCACGGTGGCCGCTGCTTCGGCAGCAAGATCGACAGCCAGACTATTTGTCTATGGAACGCCAGCAGCAGCAACTTCTACCAGACAGTATTCGCAGCATTAGCTCGTATCTAGAAAACAAGCAATCGCTTCATGGTTAAACGCATGGTCAGGCGACCACGGTCTGTTTTAGTGGTGCATCATGGCAGTTGTTGCCAGCCTGTTCTCTTGCTGTTCACGCTGGTAGAAAGTGAACCACTAAAAAAGAAATTTACAGGTGATCAATTTCGCTTATTCGAGGTTGTTACACGCCATAGTGAAGCATGAATGAAACACAAAATGATGTCGCCTCATAAAATTTTGGAAAGGCAACTGTCTACGGAAGTAGCCGTAGGCTGGCAGCCTGCGCTTACAGTTTTAATGAGACGACGGATTGAAACAGCCGCAGCAGACGCTGGACCATTGCACATATAGAATATTTTAAGCCCATTAACGTTGAAGGCTTATTTTTATATGTTCATTATAGTTTGTAATGTGACGAGTTATATGAGAAGTCTTCAAAGGTCTGTGACGTTGTCTCGTGCAGAATTGGGTCAACGTGTTTATATTGTTCATAACTTCGATTAATTTGAAGCATAATATATTTTTCAGAAGTAGAAAATGGTGCTTATCACAATTTATGCTGTTTTCTTAACGACATTGTTTGCAAATAGTTTCATATGTATATGTACATATATATCCCTTATATTAAATTTATACAAAGAAATCAATACCAACGCACTTCTGCCAGAGTTTAGAGAAATGGTAATAGAGATCAAATTTAACGGTTTAATAGGATGCCTCTTGCCTTGACTTTGTTGACCAAACGTATGATGCTGACTTGGACAGACTTGCTTTAACGTGCGTTTCCTATAGAAGTAAGTTGTGTTTACTTAGGAATAGATAACTTATAGTTCACATATGTATGCGTCTTAAAGGGTAGTTTAGATAGCTGAATACAGTTTGAGCATTATTAGTCCTAGTTATATGCAACGACACTTCCACTCGAAGTCATTCTAATTGAAGTGTCCTACATTCTATATACCACTATTATCTTGTTTGGCTAGCCTGGAATGAATATTTTCGTAAGTCAAACTTTTTCCGATGATTTCTTTAGCAGGCACTGTTTCGCATACAGGTTATAAATCAAATTGTTTGTCAAATTGTTGTTTTACCTATTACACGTTTTCAAAGGATTTTGTGTTTACTCCGTGATAGGTTATTTGTTGCGCCTATAATGATTATACAGGCTATTCATTGGGTGCTCGATAAAAATAACGCAATAAACTTTATTACTACGGATACATATGTTTTACCTCTGTGATGGGTGAACCCGTTTTAGCCATTTGAAACAAATTTAGTACAAAGTATGTGATGAGTGACTTAGCATAGGCTTCATCGTGTTGTAGTATTTTCATATCATTGGTAAAACCATTGGAGTGACAACATACGGAAAACGTGATTGTTAGCCACACATACGTGTTTTTGGAACCTTCATTTTTCAATCAATGTCTTCCTGTGATTTTCTTGTAATACAAGGCCGCTTTGCAGCGTGGGGCGCCTATAAATAAAAACAACGGAGGAAAAAAAAAGAAAAAGAAGAGCAAGAACAACAAGAAAAACGGCCAGGCGGCTTTGTCGATATCTGAATCGGTCTTATCGGCAGAAGACACAATTGGAATAAACTCGACATTCGCTCCTACGTTGAAGGAGACAACGCCAGCTCGCATACCCGTAAGTACAACAGAAAATGTCATCTATTAAGCCTGTATTCACGTGCAAATCCGCTTGTAACTTTGATTTCGATACTATTCCACTTGCCTTCAGTCCTTTTTAAAATTTCGCGAATCCGTCTCCCAGATACACCATAGTGTTTTTCATAATTGAGAAATTTCGCTTTTATTAAATGGATGGATATTCTTTTGTCAAAGGTATGCCTTTGCGAGTCAAACCTTTTGCGTAGTGTGTTTACCTTTGCCATTTGCGGTTGCCTGCTTTTCTCAGGAAGTGTCAATTATACCCTTAAACGCGACTAGGACCAACTCTTTTGCGCCGACTGTGTCTGCTATAGATTCCTCGGCCTCGACCACCGTGGTAACGTCGCAAAAAGCTGGAGGAGACGAAGCATCAAAGAAGAAGAAAAAACGGAAGAAGAAAAAGAAGAAAACTGCTAGTGATGCGAAATCATCGGGCGCAGGCGATGCAAAAGCAGATGGACCAGCAGTTACCGTGATTCCATTAAATAAAGATCCAGGTGCAATACCTGCACACCTTAATCCTGCTGTTGCGATATCACAAAGTGAGTTCCCATGAATCACAAGGCCTGCTAGTAGACCTTGTAGTGCTCTCAATATCGTCTGCATATGTGATGGAAGAGGAATAAAAGTAATAATATGCTCGCATGTGGTTGATAATATTAGGCTAATTTTTCTGCATAAGTCCACATTGGTGGTTATGGTGAAATACATTGCATGGGTGAAGTTTGAATTCTGAATTCTTTAAAAATATCTAAAATGTATATTGATGCATGCATTATATTGTGTACTTTCTAGGAGCCGGCTCTCAAGGACCAAAGGTAATTGAGTGCTCTCCGGTGGTAACTCTGATCGGTACGAACAAGAAAGCCAAAGGTCACGGAGCTTTGTATAATCCGCCGAATCCACTAAAGGTTCACACACCAGCCATTGACGAGGTAAGTTGTCTCAACTGTTTCATCAACTAATCGAACTAACTTTGTCTATGATACATAAAATCACAACACGTACGCATATATGGAAAGCTTACACTTTGTGCCATGAAAAACTTGTCACTTTGAATATGCTATATATTATAACACATACGGGTGAAAATTGCTTAGAAATTTACTGAATATTAAAACTATACGCCGTAAAAAGCAAAACGGGCATAACATACGATTGTTTATAATCGACGAACTACGAAAATTTTTTTATGCACAAATAAGTATGTATATCGTACCTGTTGCTGCAATACGCCTCTTGCAGGAGCCACTCTCTAACGAACAGGTGCAGACGATCGGTGGTGGCTTCAGATTTCCTTCTTCGTTGCAGCCGGTGTTCGAAACTCCGGAAAGTATTGCCGTGAACACCGGCGTTGTCTTGAATCAAGAGACAAGCGGAGTCCTCACGATTGTTCCCGTCCGGCAGGAAGGGGAGAAGAAGCGCCGCAATCGTAATAAGATCCTCCCGCCCTGCTGTGAACTTCGTGGTAGTTCGGGCCTTGAGGTTGTCTGTCCGCATTCGAATAAGCCCATCCCCAACTACAACTTCATCGTGAATGAGGACAGGGAGAAATCGCGCCAGTTGCAGGAAACACAGGAGTCACTTCAGGTACGCGTGGTGAAAGAGAAAGAACATTTAGTTCATTTTGAACAGGTTGGATCCAACTGTTGAAAACTTTTTTATCAGACTTAGTTGAAGGTAAAAACGATGTGTCTCGTTATATACATGAGAATTATTACGAACGTGCTATTTCTCGATAAAGTAGAACCACCGATTGTATGGTACAAACGGATGCGATATATTGTTCTTATGTACTCGACGTTTTGCTTGGATATGTATAGGCATCACAGTAATTGCATTATTAATAATATATAATGATGTGGTCTTACAGCACATAGATGATCCGGAAGTGTTGGATTCTCTGGCGAGCATTGACCACTCCGTCACGATAAAGTTAGTCGGAGGAAGGGACGCCCCACAGACAACGGTGCACCGGCAAGGTGACAAAAATACGACAATCCTAGTTCAGGCCGCGGACGCTATGAAAAAAAACGTTCCTAACAACAACAGTGGAGCGGTGGAGCAGCCGACCGTCAATAATACTCCGCCTGGAGATGCTGATAAGGCTAAAAAAGCTAGGTTGAAAGCCGAACGAAAAGCAGCATTTGTAAGTGATTCCTTTCTATTTTTTGGAACCTTCGTTAAAGCTAAAGCAGGATCGTTTTTGGATCTAAACTAAATTCATCCTCAGGTGTTAATTTTTGAGCACTTGCACATCTAATTTCTGCAACATAGATTAATCAGATTGTGGACACTATATTTTCGATATACAAGCTGTTGGCGTGTATTCAGCAACGCAAGTCGCGCTACTTAAAATTAAATTCAGGCGCCAATTTTATAAACTGTGCTATGTTCTTCTCTTGATTCTATGCAGGAGGCAAAGCGTGCAGCAGAGTTAGCTGCAACCGGAGATGATGGGAAGGAAAACAAGAAGGACTTAAGTAAAGCCCAAAGAAGAGCGATTCAGGAGGCCCAGCGGGCCAAAAAAGCTCAGGCAAAGGAAGCATCAAAAGGAGGTGAAGTTAAGACGGCGGAAAACAGGGCAGCAGTGCCACCAACAAGCAAAACACGAACGCGAAACGAAAATAGTTTGGCTGCTGACAAGAAAAAGGAATTAAATTCTAGCAAGAAAGTTTCATTTGCTGACAGTAAGTAAAGACAATTCCACTATTCAATTCTTTGCTGAATAGCGTTTGTATCTTCTTTAAGTCCGCACTGAGTTAGTTCTAGCGTAAATTATCAGCAATGGATCCAATTAAATCCTACGAGTGCTTCAACTATATTAGGTCAAGAGTGACTATACGATAACCTGAAAACGCATCAGTCACTTTCCTTTCATCACACTCATCATTTTTGCTTGCGATTTCATTAGTACCATCTGCAACAACTCCGTTTGTGCACATGCATACACGGGGCGAGAGCATAAACAAACTGAGCAAGTACAGCAAAGATTTGTCGCTGCATCCTGCGATGCTTCAACTTGGCTATCAAATCGCAGAGGGCCGGATCGTGGATGCCGACAATCGGTGTACGGCTATGCTTGAAGCTCTACAAAAGCTTGTAGAAGATTTTGGCACTAGGAAGGATCAGGAGAAAAAAGATATTCGCCAGCTTTCCAAAGAATTAGGTTCTCAGATGGACAAAAACATCGAGTAAGTAATCGATGAATTTTAGGCTCCGTTGAAGTACAGGGCGTTTTGTTTGGGTTTAATACGCGAGCGAACTTCAAATTTTAAAGATCATTCTAAACTGATTAGTCGATGAATAGGACAAAACATGATATACTTTTTTTTTCTTTATAGGAATTTCACGAAAAACGCTGATTCTTGTTGTTTTATGTTCTTTAATCTAATAAATAGGTTTCTGGAACACTGTCGACCGCTGTCTGTGTCCATGTTAAATGCGCTATCATACGTCAAGACGACAATGGGCGAAGAGTGCACAGATATGCGCACCGCTTCTGAATTCGCCACGAATATCAAGGAAACGATAATTAGATTTGTGGAGGTTGAAATTGGCCTGGCCAGAAGGGCCATCGTGGCCAACGCCAAGGATAAGATCACGGATGGTGATGTGGTACTTATATACGCTAGGTTAGTTCATCGTAACCACTCAATCTGATGCAGTCTATTTGATAGAAACCTATAATGGGAGTTTATCAATTGTATCTTATAATTAAATTATATCTGTGTGCTGGTTTCTATA